TGCAAACAGCAACTTCAGAGTGCACAAACAGGACACTGGAAGGGCTCACTGGTTCACCAGCTTCCCCCCGCCCACCATATCTGCACAAATATTTTCATAACTTTTTAAATCTAGCTGGACTTGCACAAATGCACACTTGGGTACTTCTCTGAGTCCAGTCTGGGCAACATTGCCATCACATTGTCCAGTGGGTCATACCTTTAGGTAAAGTGCAGCAGGAGAAATAGGAGACGCTGAAATAGGTTAATTTTTCACTTTACTTTCCCAGACAGCCAACAAAAGGCCTTAAATGATCTTTATGTCATGAGCAGGTCACCTCCTTCTCCCCCCCCCCCACCTGATCAAACCCAAAATGAAACCCTTAGAAAAGCAGTTTTTATTGAAACTTGACATAACATAACAGGTTACATAACAGTATAAATCACAGAAGACCGCTACTAGATTGGCGAGTTGAATCCACACTTAAATTTCCACTCCTTCCCTCCCTTTCAGGAAAGCTGCTGACTCAAGCTGGCTCTTGCTGCTGGAAGGCTAGATGGTGAGAACGCCAGAGCCTTCAAAGTTGGTCTGCTTACTTCACTTACTGCAGCTTGACCAGGCCAGGGAGTGATCCCTGCATCTGCTCCCATTCCCAAGGCAGGCAAACTCTCACAGTCTGCATGAGAAGCTTCACTAGGAGTTGACAGTTTCAAGCTACCGCCATCCCCTCTTGCTCCTCCTCAGAATCAGACAAATCTAAGCAGACTAATGCATGAAAGACAGGGCACCTCTTGATACCTGCCAAAAAGATCACTCTTCACAATGAGATCCTCCTTTTTCATTCTGGAGCTGACTCTTCTCAGCATCCTCCATCTTTTCCACTCTTTTTCAAGTCTCTTAGTGCTCGGGAAGGTGGAAAAGTAGAAACCATCCCGTTACAGAAGTTTTAACAATAATCAAAGTTATGTTTAGACTTCTGCTTAAAGCAAGGTTTCTGTCAGGGTGAAACAGGGTTGTTTTTTTCCACAGGGACATACATATGCATAGGCATATGTCACTGTCAAGAATGAGGCGGCTTTTGACAGGACTCTCCATGCTTTATTCACAGAGATATATGCATGAATGGTAGCACTGAAACCTATGTTGAACAGGAAAAAAGAGCCCTTGAGGATCCCAGTGCTTAGGAAGGATAAATCACTCCACTCCTTTTTCACAAACAAGGAACACTCGTGCATTTGCCTTGAACTGAGTTAGTCTTTTTTGTGATAATCTTTACTTTTGCATTTTCAAAAACATTACAAAAGTACAAGTACATAAAAATGTAGTGTGATCTTCTGTCTCCTCCCTTCCCACAAAATATCCCATGCATATGCATTTCCAAAAAAGTGAAAAGAAAATGAATTGTACTTATAAGTTCATGAATTCAGTTGTGAATAGTTGTGATTACTGAGCATTGTTTATTCTTATCTTAAAGCGTTCCCAAGCTATGAGCTGCTGATAGTTACACTGTTTCTTCTAATGTACTGAATAAATGTATACCATATTTCTTCAAAAGCTCTTCTTTGCTCTCTTATTTTTCTGAGCTTTAAGATGCTTCGATAAATTTCCCATGAGGTCAATGCTCCATATCCTTTTCAACCTGGTTTCCATTTTCAAAGTAACAGCTGATTTCCAATGCTGTGCTGGCACTTGTCTAGCTGCGGTCATAAAGTGCACCCTATCAAGGATGGCTATGGATTTCCTGATACTGGGCAACTATTGGACTGCCTCAATTTGTCAGTGTATGTAGCAGGGCACTATAATATATAGCCAGGCAGGGGAATAGTATTCTATAAGCATGGGACTTTGGATCTTAGACACTGCCTACAGGGATTACATGCTGGTACCTATCACACTCTGGTCCATCTAAGACCCATCAGAGGCTTGCTGCAATACGTTTGCTAGGAACACCTAGAATAAAATCTCTTGCATTCACCAGGACTTAGACTCTAACGAAATAACACTAGCATCAGGAGAGGTACCCAGCACACAGCTTGGTCAAGTTTTCTTGAGTGAATTCCTCTTGATACAGCATAATGGTGCTTGGTCAGTTCTATGTAACAACATCTATACTGGATCCTTGCCCCTCCTGGCTTAGAAAAATTAGCAGGGATGGAACGGCTGGCATGTTGGACTAGGACTTAGAAAACATACATTCAAATTGCTATTTTGCTATAGAATTCACTATTTCATCATGAAGTTAGCAGTTTAACCTATCACCCAGAATTATGAGAATAAATTAAGTGAACCAAGTATATACTGTGACCTCCACAGTGAAGTGTAAATGTAATAAAGACTTGGAAATTCAGCAAGGATAGCAATTTTTGTTTGCATTATTTATATATTTAAGTTCATGTGCCACTCCATAGAACAAAGGGTTCACTGGGCTGCTTACAATAAAAGCATTAAGAACAATAATAAAAACAACAATTAAATAAAAACAATAAAGGAACAATACAAACAAATAAAAGATAAAGAACCATTAAAAGAGTGCACAGCTGGCAATCATGCAAGAAAGTCACAAAGGCACACAGCAATAACATTAAAACAACGTTAAAACCAATTCAGCCACCAAAACGCTTGTTAAATAGGAAAGTCTTTACCTGGCACCAGAAGAAAAGCAGCAACAGCACCAGGCACACCCCCTTGGGGAGCATATTCCATAAGTGGGGAGGAAGGCCCCTCTCCTACCCATTTTCCCCCTCACTCCACTGGGGAGTGGTTCTTGGAGGAAGGCCTCCATCAAAGATCTTAGTGATCAGGTAGGGCCATATGAAGACAGGCATTCCCTCAGATTTCCTGCCTCCAAGCCATTTTAGGATTTTGTATGTTAATATCAATACTGTGAATTGGGCCCAGACTACAACAAGCAGCCCAGGAAGGACTGGTTTGATGTGTTCTCAAGCACCAGTCCTCATCAATAGCCATGCCACCCTGTTCTGAATTACATTCAGTTTTTAAAGGCAGCCCCACACAGAGAGCATTACAGTAATCCAGGCGAGAGGTTACCAAAGCATGAATAACTGTGGCAAAGTTCTGCTCATCCAAGTAGGAATATAGCGGAAAAATCTACCTAAGCTGAACAAAGGTGCTCCTGGGCACCGAGTCTACCTGTAAGTCGGGGCCCAGGAACATCCCCAAGCTTGTTCTTTAGGGGGAGAGCAACCCCATCCAGGACAGGTTGAAAATTTTCCAGTTGGATGAATCAACAGCACCTGTATCTTGTCCAGGCACTGGTTAAGAACAGTCACAGTTCTTAACACTTATTAGTGTTCCTGTTAATGCTTAGTTCTTGATTTATTCATTTGGTCTGTATGCAGGAACTAAAGTACCACCATGTTCTGTGTACATTTTCAATTACCTAGAAAAGATCTATCTATCTATCCGCCTAAACTACCTCACAGGGTTATTGTGCAGATAAAAATACAACAGCCATGTAAGCCACTCTCAGCACACTGGGAAAAGGTGGAATAAAAATAAAACTAATACATCAGATAGATATTAACCAAATGCTATATTGCTAAATTCACACTCCAATTATTTACCATGCACAGCACACAAACAAATCAGAAAGTTCTTCCTCTACTGCAAAGTTCTTGCTGTAATTATATTATATTGCAGCTACAATAAAAAAAAATCCACATTAGTTTTACTGTGTGCAGCACTTTATCAGAGCCTTTTAACATAGTTGAGAATATAAGACTTATTAAAAGGAATAAATTCTAAACAATTAAGGCTACAATTCTAAGTGCAGTTACACAGAAGAAGTAACTGAGCTGACTCAGCTACATTTCAAGTAAATTAGGCTGTACTTCTAAGCATTTTCCTGCATGACATAAGAACAGAAAATTCTTAAGCAAGCTTTCTAAGGTGCAGAAAATATGGATGGTGTTGTTAGGAACCTCTTAAGACATTCTGGGTAGATGCAGGTTCTTTAGAAAGCAAGAGGATACTGTCTTCAAGGTATTGTTGCATCTTAAGTGAAATGGGCACAACCGACATTATACAACAATTTCAACTTTTTAATGTTTTAGTGAAATATTACCATATTTAAAAGAACAACAACACATTCTGCCCATGTGCCACATGTTTTTCCTCATTTCCACTAACCACACACTTACAGAATATACAATAGATAATGAACTCAGGAGCAGGATGGGGGCGCTATGTACAGAGGGTGGATAATTATACTGCTGTATACAAACATATGTTACTATCGTGCTTATTATTAAGCATGCAGCTAGCACTCGGGGTACACATTGCTTTACAACTCTTATCATTAACTCTTAGTTCCACAGACATACATATCCTGAACCAGCCGCAAAACTATGTCACACATCAAAGGGGTCAGGACTAGCTAACAACATTGTGACAAGGAAGGGAATTGGCCACCAGAAGAAACGAGGTCAAAATGTGACAAAATGTGAACACTTTTTAAGGCTTGCAGAGCTGGTCTTTTATAGAAAAAGGTGTAACATGCTTTATAGGTAAGAGGAAGTTGTAAAAATGATGTGCTTTAGAAGGAATCACTTACCAAAACAAATAGCTACTTTATTTCTGCAGTAGAGTGGGGCTACAGAAGGATAGAGAGAAGCCCAGGCCATCTCTGTACCACATTTGTGGTCAGAGAAACAGGATAGTTGAGGGTTGATTTGCGCCAGGCCACAGCAGGAATGGGAGCACTCCGTGCCGGCTTCCAAAGCGTCCGCGAACTGGACAAGCAAGAGAGCCCTCTGAACATGTACAGAATGCCTTTATTTCTCATCACCCTTGGCTCCCATTCGCCTTCGTGTTGGGGAAAGGCATTCCAAAGGAGACTTCCAACCCCGCTTGAGACTTCTGCGAGAAGTCTCACACTCGTACACTACGCGCTCGCCCAACACCGGCAGGATGCGCTTCAGAATGTGGTTGCCGTACGTGCCCGGAGGTCCCTCGCGTCCGCCTGTACTTCAGTTGGGGGCGTCCTTCCACCCCAGCCTTACCTGCAGGGTCTACAGGTCCAGCGCTGCTCCTGAACGGGGCGGCGCGCTCGCGTCCCCCTCTGCGGCGCCCGAGACAGCGAGGCAGGCGGCGGGCGGCGGCGGCGGCGGCGAAGTCAGCTCCCACCAAGCAACCAAGAAGCACTAGGCGAAGCCCGACAAGCCAGAAAGCCAGGCCCCAACCCGCTAGCTCCGCCCCTGCCTCCTCCCGTTCCTCGGACGCAGCGTGATGGCGTCATCGAGGCCCTTCCCCGCGCGCAAGGCCCCGCCCCCGCCCCGGGCGAGGTCTCGCTTCGCGCGGAGGGGTCGTCGGGGCAGAAGGCGGGCGGGCGTCGCTGCGCTCGCTGCTTGCTGCTGCTGCCAAAGCAACAAGGGCGCCCCAGAGCGCAGTCCTGCCCGGGCTTAGACGGAAGCGAGTTCTGCAATACCCAGGATACTCCAGCCAGAATGCTGAAAGTTGTGGGACTTCCATTTGCCTAAACATACATAGGATGCCCCCTAAAAGACAATCGCTCTCTTTTTCCTCATAGCATATTATTTTTCATGGACTGGAGGCCCCTTTCAGCAGGTGCACGAAGTGTTAAACTTAGCTGACCTATTTATTTACCTATTTATCGCTCTGTCCATATGTATAGATGTGCCTGTCAAATGATGCAGGTGTATAGAGTGGGCAGATGCGCTAGATGGATATATTTGCCTGCCCAATTATGATGACTGTCTGATGAAGTGGATTTTGGTCCACATAGTGCAACAAATGTGATCTACTTCATCCGCCTGTAAGACTGTTGAAAAACTAACCTGCTTCCTAGAATTTTGTACTGCAATCTATTGCTGAACCTGAGAAAGCGTGCAAGCCCTTGGGTTCTTCTAGAGGCTAAAATTACTTTTAAAGACACAGGTTAGCTTCACTGAAGTTAGAAGGATTTATGTTTTATGCCAAAACAATTAGATCTTGCTAATGAAGTTTTTAAAACCCTCTATGTTTTTTTGCTCACATTCAGCAACGATCCGGTATTTTCGCAAGTGATTGGGCTGCCCGCTTCTGTTGCATGTTTACTCAATAGAAGTGACATCCCATGGTGTTCAGTGAGATTGCTCCCATGTAAGTTGAATGGCTTGCATTCTTACCAATCTGCAATAGGTAATACTTTGACATGAGGCTTATTAAGTTTACCTATGGAATCTGTCCCCAAAGAAGTGTGCATGGTATTATTACAGGTTGAAAGCTAACCTTAAGAAAATTGATGCATTCAAAAACTGTTGCCAGAGGAGAGTATTGTGAGTACCCAGGGCTCACTGCAGTGGGTCCTATATCAAATCAAGCCAGAATTTCCCTGAAAGCAGAATTGATGAAACTAACATGGTTGAATTTTGGCGACATCAATGGAGAAGACAGTAATGATAGGAAAAGTGGAACAGAGCAGAAAAGGGGGAATGGATTTCAGAAAGGAAGACACAGCCTTGCGTTTACAAGAAATGAACAGGACTTTCAGGGACAGGATATTTTGGAGGCCCCACATTCATAGGATCAGTGCAAACCAGTGATGATTTGATGGCAACAGTATCAGCGACTTACGGACAGAAGTTTGTGTATGCTATTCCATAACATAAAGTTCTCTTGGTGATAAAAATAACAATTTGAACACAAAATCAAAATAGAACATTTTGGATAGCTTTTCTCCCAATTACTGATGTGAGATAGAAATCAAAAGAGATATTTTAAGGCTAAATGTGTATTTCAGCTGATTGATTTTCAATCATAGAGTAGATAAAATTGCATCAAGACTTTATCTGGGGTTGGTAACAGCTGTAGCATCATGATAATCTTTGAGAGAGGAAAAGAATGCAAGGAGAAAGCTGAGAGAAAAGGAGAGAGAATGACGAAGTAGAGAGGAACAAGAATAAAATGTTAAGCAGGTCCCGTGTGCAACTGTGCTTAAAGGTAGGTCAGGTATAGAACGATTAGAGGACATTGTTCTTGTCATTGTAGATTTTACAACCACATTTCAGCATTTGGAAATACTTGCAAAACTTCATTTCAAGGGAAAATGCCTTTCTTGGTTACTAATCACTATACAAGAAACCTAAACTAGTGGCTAAAATTGCCAACATTTTCCAATCTAACTTTTTAACTAGACTTCTCTGACAGTTCTTGTGATGATAAAAATGGAGTGGGGGAGAACTCGATAAGTTGCTTTGAGTTCTTTACAAGGGGAAAAAGGAAGGATATAAATGTGATGTAATCAGAATAAATCTGCAGCAATTAAAATGTTAGCTCCATGTCATAAAAAATCAGACCAGTTGATATTTGCAGATCAGCCATCTCCTAAGTGCACAGGAACAAGCCAGGCCTTTTTTGCTGGTCAGTTCACAAGAGAGAGTTAAATATTTTAAATTACAAATAATTTCATATCAAATTTTAAATTTATTAGCTGTTGCAAAGGGTCAGTGGCAGAAAAGTGGGATATAATTATTAAAATAAGTACACAAATCCTAGATAGAACTTTTCTTCTTTAACTTGCACAGTGGGCAGTTCTTCAGCCACCAACATGGCCAACTGCTGCAGAAACGTTACTCATGCCAATTCATACACAGCTATTAAAGGTGGAGGAATGTAATCTGGCTGTAAAAGTTGGCACAGAATGTGCTGGGAAATGGCGCTTTGGAAAGCATTTAGAAGTCTGTTGAAGAGCCTTAGCATCCCTACGGGCCAAATATTTTTTCTTCAGCACCCTCACAAATCAACATTCCCCAAGATACTTTGGAAGACAACCATGCTAGTTAAAAACTATTTCACACTGTTCTGTCATACTCTGCTTATGCACGGAATGTGCTGGCCTAACAGGTATCAGATTAAGCTTTTGGAATGTTTAAACCCTTTACAAACACATTTGTAGTTCAGATTTTGAACCCTGGACATGTTTTGATCCCAAACTCACTTAACTGAAAAAGTGAAAGGCATGTTGGTTTCACTGGAGATGACTTACAAGAAGTGGGCTGAATCATTCCTAAAATAAAGCAAACCCTAGACTCATATTTCTCCTTTCTGTGTAACAGGCTTCAGACTGTTTTTAAAAGATTAAAAAAAGAACACATTTGAATTTTTCTGATTTTTCTCTAGTATCCCATATGCTAATGTTATGTGTTAAATAAAGCAATTCTTCAAACTAATATTGAATCACGATGGTGGACTTCTAAATGCTATTATTAATAGTAGAGCTCGTGGAACAATCTTTCTGGAGTCCCTTCTCTGCTTACTGTTAGGCACGCAGCTATGAAATGCATGTTCCCACAGGCTTTTACTCTCCAGTGGTTTTTGTGCCTTATATTGGTTTGTTTCATTTATATGGTATTTTTATTTTTGAATGCTGTGTTTCTATTGTTTTAATATTCTTCAGTCGCTTTGTATATAAAGGCAGTATAGAAATGTGATAAATAAGATCCTCATTAGACAGTTTGATAAAATGTCAGACATAAATCACATCTTGCATAATAGATCACCTAGAAAAGGAAAACCAGAAACAATAGGGAGTTAACGAAGATTTTAATCCAGTGTTCAAGGCACCACATATCTGCGGAGAGACAAGCAGGCAATTATTATGGGATAAGAGTTCCATCATCTGTTTTCCTCTGGAGCATGAAATTAACATTGTTAAAATGTTGTTGTTATCATTGCTTATAAAAAGGCTAATGATCATTACATAAAGGTTTTTGCAAATGTAAGATTCCTCTGGAAAGCAAACAGCTAGAAAATATAAGGAAAATATAAGAGTTTGCATTATGATAGAGAACATTGCTGAACATGTTTGAAGAAATGCTGGAAAGGCACTGGAAGAATATTGATGGTGATTATCATGTTGTAGTTCATAATGTTCATTTTGCTTCAGTCCAATTGAAATTATCCCATCTACCTTTCTGGCCTCTTTAAGTAGTGGGTCTGGTTTGACCACCTACAAAAAGCTATTTTGCCGGAAATTTTTGTTTAGATGAGTTCCACAAATATTGTTTTCTTCATTAAGCCATAGCCAACAGAGGATTTTTCTCTTCCAAAACTAGTATGCAGCTGAGTTTATATACCTGATTTTCCATAGTTATATTCAAGGAGAGAGACATAACAGTGATTTGGTTGGGTGGTTTAAAAAAAAAAAAAAAAAAAGAATAAGCATTTATAAACCCCAGGCAGGGGGACAGAGGATCTGGTCAAATTTAATAATGTTGGCAGTAGTTCAAATTCAAAATTCCACCCCAGAATGCATAAGCAGGAAATGCTATTCTAATTCATAATTTTGTACTGTTACCACATCTTATGCTGCAGCGGTTCTCTCATGAAAGCTCCTGGGAGATAGAAGCAATGCAAAACATTCACTGACTGGGCCCAGTTAATTATCTCACTATTTAGCCAGTGAGATTCAGTTCACTGCAACCTTACCCATGTTTAGACAGAAAAAAGCATGGCTATCAGAAGGGATGGTGGAGCTTGTAGGGCTTTTTTTTTCTTTTTCTTTTGGTCAAAACATGCCTGTGATTATGCCTTAAGTCAGTCAAAATTGAAAAGTGTTATGTGGTACACGCCGTGGGATAGGATAACCTCTAAGCCAGACCATTGCTTCAGGTATATATATTTTCTTCCAAGAAAGTCCTTGAGAAAATTTACTCATAATGAAGAATTTTTCTCCTTTCTCTCACCATTCCTTGACTGTAAAGCTTTCTGCTTCCCAGCAGAATAAATGAAGTCATGTTTTATACATAAACACAGCTTCCTCCCCAGTGCATATGGCTCCAAGAGACCACCTGTCCCTGTGTGTTACTGCAAAAAGCACAGGTGCTGATGCTCAGAATAGGGAGAAGCTAAAAATAGTGCATTAGCCCCCATGTCAGAACGTTTGCCTATATATTAAGCCTCACTTTTTGCTTTGCTAGGTAGAGCAAAAACCTACTTTAATGGTTGGATGGAAATTATCATTGCATTATAGTAGGTTTCATCTGACTTTGCAATTGCAGATTGCAGACCCCAAGTATGCCAATATTATTTTTTGTCCTTTAGCATAAAAAGGCTGCAGTCTTGCATCATTCTTGTTCTCAGATAGCATCAGAAAGCGTAGGATAAAAATAGTCCCCCACTCCTAGAAAATAGGATGAGAGTATGGTAG